AATTCTCTCTCTCCCTTGTAAAAACATCATTTAGTAAATATATCTTTCAAGTTTGAAGCATTGAAGAAGCCTTTAAAGGTAATATTTTCTTTTAAGTTTGTTTTAAGATATAGTTTGAAGTACTCAGACAATGTCTGAGTAAATCCTTTGTCTGAATCAAACATTTGGCTTTTGTTTACATAAATTATACATGGAAGCTCTATCTCCTTCTTCTCTTTTAATTAAAATACGATGATTTGAGATTGGTTCCAATCCAGAGTTCATCGGAAAACTCAACAATAAGTGCATTGGGCTGGAAAAGTACCGCTATGATGAATTGTTTTAGGGAAAAGAGGCCACATGATGCACAATAAGTTGTGAATTCAGACAGGCTTGAGAGTTGGGTGAAACTTTTCCATGCATCTCGATTATTGATATTTTAATTAAGGATGGATAGAGATTTTGATCCCGTGTTGGTGACAAGGCATAGCTCCGGATGAATGGTATCAGCCAGGGTGGTGGTTTGGATTCCGGCCTGGTTTCCTTGCTAGTCTGTTTGCCTGGTCTTACCGGCTAAGATAAGCACTGGCCAGGCCCCAACCCCACGCCAAATTTGGTATCAGAGCAAATTTGGCGTGATCAAAGTCAGCTCCTTGTAACAAACATGTACTGAAGTTTGTTATTTACCCAAATAATAGGTTTGTGTAAGTGTATTTATTGAATCTACTTTTAAAGTCATGAATTAAAAGAGAAGAAGGAGATAGAGCTTCCAGTCACATGTTTGTTATTTGGGTAAGTGTAGTTGATTACTATGATTGTTCTAAAGTCAGCTCAACATTTTTATCGTGAATTCGTTTATTTTACTCTTCCTATTTTATATATACTAGGTGTTAGTCCCGTCCGATGAACGGGGAATGCATACACATTTAGACATTTTTACATAAATTTTGTATTTTTATAAAATATGTAATGACTTTAGTTTTAAACATGATTACCTCTGGATTTACAGGAATTTATTTTTTTAAATGACATTTTAAATTCACTGGTGATAAGGTTTATGTAGATCTCTCTAAAATTTATTAGGATTTGGTACTCTCTCCAATCAATCTCTGTGTTAGGATTTGGTTCATGAAAATAAGGGTTCTGTTTTTATTATTTTGTTTTTTTAATAATTATTTTAGTTTTTTTTTTTTTGGTTTTATTATTTTGTTTTGTGTATTTTTAAGTCTAAGAAATTAAGAAAATACCACATAGAATTTAATTCTATGTGGCATGTGCTACATGCCTTTAGTTTTCTCTCTCTGGTTTTTGGCTTAGTATAGTACTAGATGTTACCCGCACGATGTGCGGGATAGATAAATTATATACAAAGATAAAATGTATCAAAGAAATATTTTTTATTTTTGTAGAATTAAAATAATTGGAAGAGATTATGATATATTAGTTTCAGGAAATTGACACGTTTGAAGGACTCATTTTATCCACTGATACTATAAACGACCATTCTGTTTCCAAATGGGCTGTAGTAAATCAAATATATTGTACTCTTCCTTCACCTTCTACGTCTAAGCATATGTAGTCGATAATGCATTACTTGCCCCACCTTAAAAATAATTTAAATTTTGTTACAAATATATATATATATATACTGACCGAATAAAATCCCTGAAGTTTAGAGATTTTAATTTTTAATGAAACGCTAAAATTAAACGCGATTAATGCTTATCATAATTCAAATCGAATTTTAAAATTCAAAATGTTAAGATATTTTAGTCTAATTTACAACCTAATTAATAAAAAATCAGGATTATATGTTAAGATAATCCTAATTCAAAATGTTAAGATATTTAACATATTTAATATGTTTGAGTTTAAGATATTTTAGTCTAATTTACAACCTAATTCAAAATGTTAAGATATTTAACATATTTAATATGTTTGAGTTTATTTTTTATTTTTTTTTGGTGCAAAAAACTCGAATCAACATTACCGTTGATATTATGATTTCAACTTTCCGATTAAAAAAAATTTAGCATTAATTTTGATTATTTTCTTTTTTTGTAAGGTCATTGGTCATAGTTTTTTTAGGTAAGGTCATCAACCATAATTGGAGCTTTATTTAAGTCAATTAGAAAATTTATTCAAATCAATCAGTAATAATTATAATAAAATCAAATCAATGTTACCTTTTCTTTATGACACCAGCTGGAAAGAAACCATTAATGTTGATTTTTTAAAAAAATTGTTCAATTTTTTTTTGTCTAATTTACAACCTAATTAATAAAAAAATCAGGATTATATATGTATATTGAAATATTTAACATATTTAATATGTTTGAGTTTAATTTTTTTTTTGTGCAAAAAACTCGAAATTACATTAATGTTGATATTATGATTTCAACTTTCCGATTAAAAAAGATTTAACATTAATTTTGATTATTTTTTTAGGTAAGGTCATTGGCCATGATTTTTCTAGGTAAGGTCATCAACCATAATTGGAGCTTTATTTAAGTGAATCAGAAAATTTATTCAAATCAATCAACAATAATTATAATAAAATCAAATCAATTTTATCTTTTCTTTATGACACCAAATGGAAAGAAACCATTAATGTTGATTTTTTTTAAAAAAAAATATTCCGTTTTTTTTGTTTGATCGAATTTAAAAGTGAAAGTTTAGCCCCCAATTAATTGATAGAATTTAATTACGATTTGATGAAACTTTATTTACTGAAAATTCAAATGACTGTTAGTGTAATTGTTGTAAATATTTTTTGTGTCAACCTATAAAAAAATTACACATAGGATTTTGTCTTATGTGTCAACGGGAGGAGAAGTTTGATTTCCTCTCTCTGGTTTCTCTCTTAGTATAATACTATAGATATATATATATATATATTTGACTGTAAATACTAATTTTGGTCACGAGTTATGTTATAAACAAAATGTGAGGGATATGAGATTATTTTATTTGGACGTCTTTCTCACCATTTACGACGATCCCAATTCGCAACTGATCTAACTCATACAAGTTATAAAGAAAGTAAATTAATATAACTTGCTTTTCAGTTTTTACTTCCTTTTTTTTGGAAAGAAAAATTAATGTAAACATAAGTACACCCTTCTCGAGTTGGCAAACGGAAATTTATTTTTGATTTTTTTCTTAACAAAAAGAAAAATAAAAATTACTATCTCTATCACAACTGTTTTTCTGAAATGAATGGAATTTATTTGGCTTAACCTCAGGGGCCAAAGAATGTTGACATGATCCCGGATACAAAAATGCTTCATAGCGAGGTATATTCATGTATATGTGTAACGGATTAAATAATTAAACTTGTAGATTAAATCAAACCTTTATCAAATTCTCGCATTGTTTCAAAATAATTAAACAGTTTGACTACGCAATCGTTTCAGGACGAAAACTATCTCATTATATATATATATATATATATATATATATATCAGTACTTTGCCCGAGCGTTGCACGGCGGATATTTAGAAATGCTTATTTGAACATATAAATGATAATTTTTGTGCTTAAAAAAATCTTAATTCTAAAAAGTAAATTGCTATTATTGAAATATGTGTGTTTCGGATAGTAAATTAAAAAAACATTGAATGAATACAATCAAAATCAGTTTATGTCACTTTGAACGAAAAATTCAAAAACTAAGGAATAATGAATTATTCAGGAATTAAAAAAAGAGACGCATTTCATACATTCAGAAGCGCTTCTTTGTACAGAACGTGGCGTTTGTGGTACGAGTGAGAAATTCAACCTCCCTGTTGCAGATTATTTTTATGGGACGAAGGGAGTAAGTAATAAGTATATAAAATACTAAGTAATGAGGGGTGCTTTGGTTAAAAAATCAACTAGAAAAAGGAGTAGAGAGATCTATATTTTTTTTTTTTGGTAAAGAAAAATGTGGAGATCGGATTCTCAAAATCCGACCTACTAATTAAATTAGTAGTTCGGATTTTAAGAATCCGATTTAATAAAATAACAATTTTTATTTCCGAAAAATATATGTGAGAAAAATGTATTGAAAGTCAAATAAAGAACAGTCAAAGGTCGGATTTTAGGAATCTGACCTTGTTTATTTTCATTAAAAAATATAGGCGGGAGATTTGAAAATTAAGAACAGTACAAAATCGGATTTACAAAATCCGACCTTATTTAAGCATACCTAACAGTAGGTATCGGCATTGAATGGACGTAATTAGCTGGCAGAAGGTCGGATTCGTGAAATCCGGCCTTGATGTTAAATCGGATTTTCTAAATCCGATTTTATAAATAAAATCGGATTTTAGAAATCCGACTTTATTGTGTTATAATGGGGCGACGGAAAACACTGTTCACATATCGGGATTTTTGGTAAAGTAGGCTATTTCTTGAAGGAGGAGGTGATTTTAGTGGCGATTTGAAGATTTTGTTCACGATTCTTCGCAACGGATGTCTTAAAACCATTTCATAAGAAGGTTAGTTAATGTTTTGATGTATTTAGAATTATTTTTGTTATTTTCTTTGTAAAAGTTTAGAACTAGGATGATTTATAAGGTTTTAGGGTTGACGTTGGGTGTAGTTGATGATTGTTGTTGTATACGTGGTATTGAACGTTCAATTTAGTAAAATGCTTGAATTTGGCCTAAACTTTTGAATTTGTAGGGGGTTTAGTAAATTTAGTGTTGATTATGCCTTGTTTGTGGTAATTGTTATAATAAGTTGTTTGATAATGCCTTGTTTGTGTCATTTTTTTCAATAATTTGTTCATGATGTGTTGTAATTCATGTAATCAACAGATATAAATGGCGTTTAACGGTCCATATTTCATTAATGTCTATTGGTCGAGCAAATTTGTAGTGAAGAATGGGATTGTGAATAGTTTTAACAACATGCCGGACGATTCCTTTGTGATTGATCATAAGTTATTGTACAATGATTTGGTTGGACTGATTTGTGAAAGAGTGGGGTAGAATAGAAAGAATGTGAATTTGAGTCTATCGATTTTGTATGATATGATGCGCAATGGTTTTATGCGTATCGCCAAAATCAAGGACGACGCATCGTTGCAAGTGTTGTATTTCCTCCCAAGTTCGACATATATTGATTTGTATGTAGATTTGGAGGTGGCGGGTACTTCTAGGTCCCATTTGGAAGTAGGGACAACTAGTGGTAGGCCGAATGTGGAGAATGTCGATTACAAGGAAGATGATGATGTGGGTGGACCGTTTATGGAGGATGGCGATCACATGGAATATAATCACGGTGAAGATGATGAGAACTACACATCGATAAGTGATCAAAGCGATGAAAACCAATCAATATCCGAAGGAAGTCGGGAGAGTGATGAAGAGGTCAAAGACAAATTCGCCACAAAGGATAGGCACATATATCGTTCACAGGGTACATGGGATCATACAAAAGTGGACAAGGATGATTTTCAACTTACCATGTGGGACGGGACAACCGCAACAATTGGGATAGGGACTTGTTTCAAGAATAAGGAAGAAGCAAAAAATGGTATTGCAGCGTGGAACATAGAGCAAAAGAGAGAGTTTTATGTGAAGGAAAGTGATGGTTCAACATGGTCTATTTGGTGCAAATCCCTAAAAGAGTCAACCCCTAAGGGTTATGTTCCTTGCCGTTGGAAGGTACGTGCCTCCTTGAGAGACCACGGTTTGTGGGAGATTGTGAAATGGGTGCCCGAGCACAATTGTATGAACGTCACCGAGGATAACAATAATCGGAATGTGAGCGCAACGCTTATTGCGCATCTCATAAGGCATAAGGTTGAGTTGGACCCAGATTATGAAGTGAAGCTCATTCAAGAAGAAGTGAAAGACCGTATGCATGTCGATGTTCCTTACCACAGGGCATGGGAGGGAAGGAGAAAAGCTATCGATCTTGTTTACGGCGACTGGGTTTCCAATTTTGACAAACTTCCAAGGTATTTACTTAAGTCCTATCTAATTTTTTTGATTTGTTTGTAATTTAGGAATAAAATAAGGATTAATTTTTTTATTGTAATTTAGATTTTTTGCCGCCCTAGAGAAGAGCAACCCCGGTACAGTTGTAGAGTGGGAATGGCAACCGGGTTGGACCGATATAGAGAGGACGTTCAAATACATTTTTTGGGCATTCAAGCCTGCAATTGATTGTTTTGCTAAATGTCCTCCGGTGATTAGTATCGACGGGACGCACTTGCGCGGCAGATACAAAGGTAAATTACTTGCTGCAATGGTCAAAACTGCGAATAAGTGCATCCTGCCAATTGCATATGCGATCGTGGATGAAGAGAGTGAGGAAAGTTGGTCATTCTTCTTGAAGCATTTGAGGAATCATGTTATATCTGACCGGCCTGTGTGTGTTATATCCGATCGGCACAAGGGTATCATCAGTGCAATACGCCTAATGCCCGAATGGAATGTATACCACCGGTTTTGCCTTCGTCACGTCCGTAGTAACTTGGTGGCGCAGTTTCGAAGTAAAAAGATCAAAAGGTTGTGTTGGGAGATGGGCACGAAACTTTCTAAGTCTAAATTCAAAGAACTAAGGAATGAGCTACGTGATTTTAGCAATGATGCTTATTTGTATCTCGAGGAGATTGATGCTTGTCAGTGGACTCTTGCCAAAGACATACACTATCGTTGGGGTAACCAGACAACGAACATTTCTGAGAGCTACAACAACGTCCTCAAGGGCGTTCGTTTCTTGCCAATCCGGGCTTTGGTGGAAGCTACTTTTATTAAGACTGTGGATTTGTTCCAGGAAGAATACGTAAAGTCGAGGAAATGTATTACTCCGGTCCCAACTGACTTGTGGGAAGACTTCAAGAAAAAAGAAAAGAAAGCCGCATTGTCAGGAATCAAGGTGAAAAGTAGAGCCCGACTTGGTGGTAAAAGGGACAACACGTACACTCTGAAATATGAAGAGAAGAAGTGTTCTTGCAAGAAGTGGCAAGAGTATAGGTTCCCTTGTACACATGCACTAGCTGTGTGTCGGAAGATAAAAGATCAACCAATCAATACGGTGAATCCATATTTCAGGGTTGTTGCTTGGCAAGACCAATTCAGTGGGCACGATGACTTTTCCCCGGTCCCTGATATGAGAAGATGGCCTAAGGTTGGATGGAGACTCGTTCCTAACTACGAGCGAGTTATTATGCATGCTGGACCCGGTCGTTGGCAAAAAAAGAGATTTAAAATGCAAATGGATTATAGGGGACGCAAATCGAGGGGTGAATGTTTGAGATGTGGCTCAAGGAATCATTTCACCAATGCGTGCCCAAAATCACACAAGAAATCCGATAGGACAAGGCTCAAGATCAATTGGGATGCCGATGGTATTCACAACGACTAGGATTGTTTTGTTGAATTGTTGTTTATATGGCAAAACAATGTTTCATGTCTCGAAACTTTTGATATTTATGCTTTAGTTTGTTCGATTTGGAGTTTATGTTGTAGTTCTTTTGAACCATGAGGCTTAATGAATTAGTTTATTTAATATATTGTTATTGTGTTTGATATTAGTACTTGTGTATCCGAATTACAAAATCCCATCTAGGCATAAAGCCGGATTTTCTGAATCCGAGTTTCAAGGAAAATCGGATTTTGTAAATCCGAGCTAGGCATAAAGCCGGATTTCCTGAATCCGATTTGTGCACTGTTCACTCAGAAGGTCGGATTTTGGTGAAATTTTGCAACCAACTTCGTAACTCTCTGTCCAAGGTCGGATTTCTTGAATCCGATTTTTGCACTGTTCACTCCGAAGGTCGGATTTTGGTGAAAATTTGCAACCAACTTCACAACTCTCTGTCCAAATCCGACTTTGTTTCTCAATGAATAAACCGGTTGACCAAAATTTGGGGGAGTCAAAATCGACTCCCCCTTCTTCTCCAACCCTAATCCCGGCGAAAGCAATTCCTCAAGGTCGGATTCCCCCAAACCCGGCGATTCCCCTCCCCGGCGATACACACATTCAGGTAATTTGTCCATTTTTTTCATTTTCATTCAGGTAATGTGTGTGTGTGTGTGTGTTGCCGGCGATGTGTGTGTGTGTGTTGCCGGCACTCAGTGTGTGTGTGTGTGTTGCCGGCACTCAGTGTGTGTGTGTGTGTGTTGCCGGGTGTGTGTGTGTGTGTGTGTGTTGCCGGCGATATGTGTGTGTGTTTTGCCGGCACTCAGTGTGTGTGTGTGTGTTGCCGGCAATGTGTGAATGTGTGTGTGTGACTGTGTGAATGTGTGTGTGTGACTGTGTGAATGTGTGTGTGTGTGTGTGTTGCTGGCACACTGTGTGTGTCGGCACTCTGTGTGTGTGTGTGTGTGTGTGTGTGTGTTGCCGGCACTCTGTGTGTGTATTGGTATTGATATTGGTATTGGTATTGGTATTGATATTGGTATTGATATTGGTATTGGTATTGGTATTGATAGTATTTGGTATTATAGGATTAAAAAATAGAGGGTTCGAGTTCCTCGCAACCCACACTGCAACATTTTAATACAGCTCCAATAGATGACTCATTATTATACCTATATGACCATCATAGGGCGAAAGCCATTTTCGAGAACCATGAGGCTTTTAGTAAAGCCCTTAAAGGCAGGAGATTTGATAGTCATTTTTGGACTTGTATAGAGAAACCATCCCGGCATTGCCCTCCACAAGTCATAGATGAGATAAAGCGGGCAGGCTTTGGGGGGGGAGGGGTGATCCAACTAGGTTATATACAAGCGGACAATTGTTTTGATCACCGCAATGGTTGAGAGGTGGAGGCCTGAAACTCATACATTTCATTTTCATTTTGGCAAGGCCACTATCACTCTAGAAGACGTTGAGGTGTTATTAGGGTTGAAAGTGGATGGTAAGCCTGTGGAGGGGATGACACCTGAGAATTCTATGGCACAGTGGATGGCATTGTGCTTTAGATTGTTGGGAATTACACCCGTTAGTGACATGTTTGATGGGAATAAGATTTATGCAGAGTGTTTAATCAACGAGTGTCTGCGTCCGATCCCAGAAAATGCCCCAAGAGAGGCCTATACACAGAGGGCCCGTGCATTACTGTTACTACTGATTGGAGGTTTCTTGATTCCTGATAATACGGGAAACAGAATACCACTTTGGATCCTGACAATACTCGAGGATTTGGATGTCATGCTACCTACGGTTGGGGTCAACTGTGTTAGCTAAGTTGTACTTTGCTCTGTGTCAAGCTTCCGTGCCCGGGAAAAAAGACATTACCGGATGTTATATGCTGATGCAGGTGAATTTTTGTGTTTCTTTGTTTATTTATATTTTTTTATTATATTTTTGTTTGTTTTCCTAATTTGTGCCTTTTCTATTTGATTTAAAATTTCAGTTATGGGTTTGGGAGCGTATCCCAAGACTTCAACCAAAGAGGAAGGTTAATGATGAGAGTTACTTGGTGCCGGACGCACCATTAGGCAATAGGTAATGATTTATTTTATTATTTTTTATTTCCTATTAATGTTTCAATCCAATGATTTATTTTATTATTTTTTATTTCCTATTATGTTAAAATCTAATGATTTATTTTATTATTTTTTATTTCCTATTATGTCTCAATCGTAGGTGGAAATGCCCAAAATCCAAAGCGAACATCGCCGCTCATTGTGTTGCTGGCATCAGGGATCAGTTATCTAGCCTAAGGGATGGGGATGTAAGTATTGATTTAAGTTGCTTGATAAAATTCCTTTTCATATTTTCCTCTATTTTTTTTTACCAATTTTTTATTTTTGGACAGTTTCTATGGACTCCATACACTCCCTTCATCGACGATCTCCCTGATTTCTGTAAAGAGGGGGTTAATTTCTACCTCTGTAGGACGTGGATCTTTTGTTGGGCCATCAGAGAACCATACGAGCCCAATCGGGTCCTTCGTCAATTTCAATGTGTCCAAACTATGCCAGAGTACCCGTTAATCAATGACATTGATCGCTGGAATGCGATACACCACGGATGCCTTGGGACTGGAAAGGCATATGATGATTGGGTGCAAAAACACACTGAGGTACGACCTCATTGGAATGTAAGAGATCAGCACGTGGTCCCTCATGATTTGGGTGATCCGGAACTAGGTCCTCAATGCACATCGGACTACATGCCGTGGTTTCAAAAGAAGACTATCAGATTTATGACTGATCCCACTCAATACGGCCCTCTGGCACAGGGTTATCACTCGTCTTCATCTCTGGAGAGATTTTATGTAAGATCTAATATTATATTTTGACTTAAATTTTTTTTTATATTTTAATTCTTGCTATATCTTACACTTTATTCACATGGTTCAATTTTCTGCAGTCTTCAAATCTCAGCGACATATATCATCTCGTTGATGCAGCCTTACGGGAAAAATCCAAGCCTCGGTGGTAGTCTAGAGGATAAACTCTTCCAAATCTTCGACAAGAGTTTCAGTGCCCTGACTTTGGGCCCACGTGATATGAGTACTCAGTCCGATACTCAAGTTCTTCAGAAAAGACCCCCTGAGTCAAGTCAAAATGTGGTACTCACGCAGAAAACAACATCGAAGCCTACTGGAGGAGGAAGGAGGAAGCGACCGGGAATTTCAGATCGAACAATCATAGTTCATCCTAATCCAACTCCGATGCAAGAAGATGATGAAAATGATGAAGGCAATGAAAGCGATGAGGATTACTACATTAGGGGCGAAGAAGAAGAAGAAGAAGAGTCCTCTCCACCTCGTGTTTCTTCCCAAAGAAAAGAAAACGGTCGAGGTTCGCAAGAGTGATAGGGTTAGTAAACCGGCCAAGAAGTATACTCCCGGCGATGGGGCTACAAGGAAGAAAAGGTCGTCAAAGTAATTCAATTGTAGGACTCTTTAATTTATAACTCTTTCATGTATAAATGTTGTAATTTGGATGATTTGGGATTTGAATTTGTTAATGTTTGTTTTGATGTGTTTAGAATGTGTTTATAGGTAATTTTATTCGTGAAATTTGGTTTTGGTGCTGTTTTGATAGATTGGGATTGGTTTAGAAACCAATCTTTTATTTTTTTCAAAGTGTCTGTCCAATCCGACCTTTTACTTGTTTTACGAAGAAATCGGATTTTGAGAATCCGAACTTAGCTTACACGGATTCTCAAAATCCGATTTAAGCTTACCCGGATTTCTGAAATCCGGCCTTATGTTAAAATCGAATTTTAAAAATCCGACTTCGGTCAAAATTTTATTTCAAAAAAAAAAAACTAAATGTTTTTCTGAAAATATATTATTTTAATATAATAGGGTCGGATTTTAGAAATCCGATTTTCTCTTAATCTTGATTAATTTCATTAATTTTTCGTATTAAGTGTAGGTCGGATTTGGAGAATCCGATTTAGGTGAAAAATCGGATTTTAGGAATCCGATATCGGTATTTTTCTCTTCCCCAAAATTCGACCTATATTTATCTCTACTCCTTTTTGAACCATTTTTTAACTCAAAAACTCAAGTAATGAGTGATATTCTCTCCATCCCACAAAAATCATCCAATTTCAAAATGTAGAACTTTTCTTTTTTGGTCAACTTAATAAATGTACAACTCATTTTATAGTATGAACTTCCATTTGTACCCCTGTTGAAACTTATTCAACGGTGTAACTCAAACTAATAAAGTTAAATCCCTACATCTTCTCTCTCCTCTCCGCCCAACGCCGATCACTTTGTCCATGATATAAACCGCCGGGGACCGATTACCACCACCGTCCATCTGCAAACTTCTCTCCTCCTCCGCACCACCACTGCTACCAGTTTTATTTTTCTGCCCATAATTTCTGCCTTAATATTTTCCATCTTCTCTCTTGTTTTTGCTTGAATTCCCACCGCCGCTGCCACCGCCACCCCTACAGCGAAGAAGACATGTGGAGGCCGGGACGGAGAGGCATGGCTAGAAAAACGGAGACGAACCCGATGCCGATGAAATTAAGGAATAAAAAAACATTAACGAGAATCAATCAAAGAGTATGGAAATCAAAACGGAACAAAAATCAATCTAAGAGTAAAGAAAAAAAAAACCACGCCAATTTTGATATTGTACTAACTGGAACAAGAATCAATCAAAATCAAAACGGAAGAACAATGCAAAGATGATGATCGGTCATGGGAGAAATTGGAAATGGAAGAACGGTGGCTTAATTTAAAAGCTTGCCCAATTGAAACCAAATCCTCTTTTTTCTTGTGAGGTGGAACCAATTTGGTGTTAGGGTGACTGAAAATAATAATCTTTTAGGTTAGGGATGTTATGGTCATTTTGATTGTTTTTTATTTTGATTTTTTAAAACTGGACTATTTTTTTGAGACAAAATTATTCATCAAATTAGACTATTTTTGTAGGACGGAGGGAGTACTTGTTTCGTCCCAAATTAATTTAGAAAATAAATTTATTTGAACATAAATAGACCAATAAAATTTTTATTTTGATGGAGATAGCATTTACCAGGAGATGAAAAATAAATAAATAATGTGTATATGAACGGATCATGACTATATTATAGTTTCAAAATTATTCAACTACATGAAGGGATAAGTTACAATAATAACATCATGACTAAGCCATTCAAGAGCATTTGGTGACGACAAATCTGGATTCATTGCGTCGGCATTGCAACATGATTCGTGATAAATTTACATTTTATGTGTTTTACTGTCCAATCTCTTTTTATGTGAATATGATTAAGTTTTACTATCCAATCTCTTATTACACGAAAGTTATTGTGATCAAACACTATTTATGATGATACTCTAATCCTCGACTTTAGCCTCTAGTCTTCCACAATATCCCAAATCCCAGGCATTGTAGCCTTTTACTGTTTTAGAACAGTGAAAATATTTTACATCTTCTTATTTATTTATTTTCGTAATGAACATCAAGATCTGGTTATAAATCTTGAATCACACGACTTTCTTAATCTTCCAGAACAGTGTCTTCTCTCCACTAATTCCAACTACTTACTCTTATGCAAGTTTACCATCACCGACAATCACTTTCGGCATAGTAAATAGTTATATAAAGATGAGATAGATTATCAAATTGGACAGTATACATTTTCTTTCTTTTTTACTATATTTGATGAACAGATTGAATACACAATGACAACATATGATTTATACAGCGGATCCCACGTAATGAAAAAAAGATTTGCTGAGTTGTATGTTTGAAACAGTGGACAATTTAGAACATGAGAGTACTTAAATATTCTCTTTATCCCACGATAAACATTGTTTGAACAATAATAACTTGGAATGTTAGTACTTAGTACAACAAACACTCATAGAAAACAAAATACAGCAAAATTATCCTAGTATAATTAGGATTTCTTAGGATTCAAGAATCGAGTCCCATCAGAGATACATAGAAAGATTAATGAATGTAGAATTAGAGTCTAGAGATTGATTAACAAAAATGTGCATATATCATTACCTAAAAAAAGGTATTACATTAATTTTCAGAAGATAATGCCAAAATTTTTCTAGTTTCTTACTTTCTTTAACCTTACTCGGTGTAGATTTGCTCATTTGCTAGTGAACTGATGACAAAATATAAACACTAAGGACTCAAATAGCTACTTAACCAAATATGGAAGATAAGAATGTAAACCTACACTCTAAAAAGGTGATCTCGTGTTTCCGCTGTGGGCCGCCGACCAAAACTCTCCCATCCATCAGCCACTTCACACTGCACTTTTTCTTTCACACAGTCACACAGTGGTGGCCACTTCTTCTTTCTCCTTCGCTCACAACCACAAACCTCAAAAACCTCCAGCTTCCTTACTTCCTTTTTGTTCATGCCCAACTGAAACCACCAGAACCAAACAAAACAATTTCCACTATATACTATACCCCGTGATTCTTCCACTACCTTTGTGGTTTAAAAAAATTCCACCAATTCTTCTTAGGAAAAATAAATATATTCTTTATCCCAGGTTAATCCAATTCCAAAACACCAATTGACGCATTTATTGTTGGATTTTGACAGATACTGAAATATATTTTTTCCCCAAAAAATAATCGAAAATGTATTTCAAAAAGGCTATAAAACCTCAACATCATCAACCCAATTCCAAGAGATTCATCGTATTATTAATGGCTACATTTCTGTCCATGTGCATTGGTTCCCTCGTCTTATTCTTCTCTCTCTCCACCGCCCTCCGCCACCACGGCCACCACAACAACCATGATCATTTCGTCGGAGCCCCAACTCAGCCCATTTATAACCCCTCAACCAATGGGTTCATAAGCGAAGCCTGCAAAGCTTCGAGAGACCCGCCCACCTGTGAATACTCGCTGTCGTCTTCAAGCGGCGGGCCTCCGTATCAGACACTTTTGGATACTATCCAATTAGCTATTTGGGTTTCTCAGAAAAACCTCAGAATTGCCCAATCCATGGTGAGTGATATCCTTGCTGCTTCCGCAGGGAATTTGAACCGGAGCAACGCGGCAAAAACGTGCTTGGAGGTGCTGAATTATTCCGATTACCGGAGTAATCTGACGGCAGCCGCTTTGCGAGGCGGCGGGATAAAGGATTCACGGGCGTGGATGTCCGCGGCTTTGGTTTATCAGTACGATTGCTGGTCTGCTTTGAAGTATGTTAACGGGACATCAAAGGTGAATGAAACGATGGCGTTTCTGAACGATTTGCTCGGATTGAGTAGCAATGCTTTAGGAATGATGCTGAACTTTGACAACTTTGGCGAGAAAACGGAGCTTTGGACCGCACCCAAGACTGAGCGTGATGGGTTTTGGGAGAGGGTTGATGGGTCGGGCGGAGGTTCCGGGTTCGGGTTTAAGGGTGGAGTGCCGGCTATGTTGAAACCGGACGTCACTGTGTGCAAAGGAGGCGGGGGTTGTGATTATGCCACGGTGCAGGAGGCGGTTAACGCCGCTCCAGATAACGCCCCAGAACGGCGGTTTGTGATTTTGATCAAGGCCGGAGTTTATGAGGAAACAGTTCGGGTCCCGTTGGAGAAAAAGAATGTGGTGTTCTTGGGTGATGGAATTGGTAAAACGGTGATTACTGGGTCGGGAAATGTAGGCCAGCCCGGCGTTTCAACTTATAATTCTGCCACCGTAGGTGAGTATAATGGCCTCCGATCATTCCCATTTAGCTCTTATATTTGTTGTCACTTGTTTAATTATGATCATCTTTATATATAGACAAGTATATATGTCTACAAATTTGTGAAAATGGACCCATAGGAGAAGGAATATGAAACATGGGCAACTCTGATTTAGTTGGTTAGATGATTTGATGATGTGACCAAAACCACTTGTTGGATTAATTAAATAGAAGTTTTGGCCTGAATGTATTTAAATTAATGCAATATTGGTCTTATTTGGTCAGCAATTAGCAATTATCCTAAATGAGATTCTTTTGCTTACTTTTCGTGTACTGGTTCAATGATACAGTGTAGTCTCACTAAAGCTTATAGACATTTATATTGGATTAAACTTTAAAGTAGGTTAGCTAATTGATTTATATATATGGTGTTGGATGTGTTGGGTGGGAAGGTAGGAGTAGTGATAAGGACCCAGTGTTTAACGTTGTTGACTGATTTTGAAGCTTTTGCAATTGCTTTGTTGCTACTAGCCTTTGGTTGAAACAATCATTAGAGTCAATGATCTGCTTACCGCGTAAGATGACCTGAAGTTTTGTAGTATAATGGAAACTCATATAGTAATTAGCTTGAAAGGAGTGAGAATCAGTAAATGCTGAATAATATGATACCTGAATACAGCGTGTCAGGCTTAGCACGGAGATACACTGCATTATAACACATTTACTTGAGAACCTCTGTTTTGGGAAAAGAGAAAGTTGTGGTTTGTGATAATTTGACTGTGTAAGCTTGAAAGTTTTGTCTCTAATGCAATAATATTTGAATCCTTTATACCAGGTGTTGTTGGTGATGGTTTCATGGCTAGTGGTCTCACCATTCAGAATACAGCAGGTCCTGATGTTCATCAAGCAGTAGCCTTTAGATCGGATAGTGATCTTTCAGTTGTAGAAAACTGTGAATTCCTCGGCAATCAAGACACCCTATATGCACATGCTCTACGCCAGTATTACAAATTGTGTCGCATTCAAGGAAATGTTGATTTTGTATTTGGAAATTCGGCTTCATTCTTTGACAGTTGCCTCATCCTTGTCGCTCCAAGGCAAATAAACCCCACAAAGGGGGAGAAAAATGCCGTGACTGCTCACGGGAGAATCGACCCTGCCCAGTTCACTGGATTTGTGTTTTTAGGTTGTGTGATAAATGGAACTGAAGAATACATGAAACTGTACTACAGCAAGCCCAGTGTGCACAAAAACTACCTAGGACGGCCATGGAAGGAATACTCTAGGACGGTATTCATCCAGAGCACATTGGAGGCTCTCATTACACCTGATGGATGGTTGCCATGGAGCGGGGATTTCGCCTTGAAAACCCTTTATTATGGGGAATTTGACAATGTTGGATCTGGGGCTAATATCTCGGGGCGTGTTTCCTGGAGTAGCCAGATTCCAGCTGAATACATGAACAGATATTCAGTGCAAAATTTCATTCAGGGTGATCAGTGGATACCTACTTCTGGATAAAAAAAGGTACCCAAATGTGTAAATTCCATAAGCTCTGAAGTGGAAATTTTTATGTTACTTTCAGAGTAACAACTAACAAGGGAGTTAAATGATCCCTTTGTGCATCAAGATCTGGTTGTGGTTGTTGTTGTGCTGATGAGGTGAAATATTAGTTCATTTAGCCTTATTATATAGGACGCGGGAAATTGATTGTAGCAGTTGATTCTGATGAATTAACCCGCCTACTTTACACATTGGAAATTTTTTAGAAATAGTCTCTGTCTAATTAATCGATTTTATGACCCTGCGCAAGGATGGCGCACACACGAATCTTATGAGCCTAAACCTATTAGTTCTACCATTGGATCATGATTCGATAAACATTTGGAAAAAGTGGTTAAGATATGGACTATGGAGCATTTTCTTTGATAGAGGCAGAATGTACTACTCACCCCATGTGACGTGTATTTTGCAATTTCGTTCAAAAAAGAAGAAGAAACATTGAAATAGTGGACGATTAAAATGAAATGTTTATCCAAAAGCTGTAGACCAGCCATGTTAAGTTTTTCCAAAGTGGAACATGTACTATAAGATAGATGTTTGGCCACTATGGCAGGATAGTGCCGACTGCACATACCGTATGCTTACGGTTGTGCTCTCATGGGCCACAAGAAGGGGAAAAAGAACAAAAAACTGAAAAAGATGAAGAAAGAAGACAAAGAAGAGAATAACAAGAAACAAGAAATTGGAATTAGGAAATCATTTTCTTATTGCCATCTTCCAGAATGGAAAAATTATAGCCCCGTCGGCATAGTATTTTTGAACGTGTTTTGGAGTTCGTTTAAAAAACTATCTCGGATAACAAACAACCACTCTAGCAACAAAATTCAAGCACTCTACAATTGGTCGTCTATATTCGACAAAAGTGATGGTCATTTTTTTTTAAAAAGAACTAAAATATTATTCCTATCTATTACGACAAATCTTACCGTTTAATTAATACTCTTTCTGTCAAAAAAAAATTCACGTGATAAATACTAAAAATAGTACAATTTACATTTTGGATGATTTTTTATGAAATTTGGGAATACTATAATTACATTCTTCACCACTGATATTCACTTAACAATTGTACACAAATTGTGTGCTATGTCTTTAGCACACTCATAATCATTGAACAAATTTTAACATTTCATCATAGCGGATCATGATTAGAGTGTGTAACCAAAAAAAAAAATATTATTAGACATCTAATTATTGTGACATAATTTTCTAAAAGTATCATGAATGTTTGTAGCCTATGAAATTGATTCGACAAAACATAAGCATGAGACATTCATACCTTTCTAGTTAGGGCATCGGGGTAACTTCAGAGAGAAGAACAACTCTAGAAAAAGATACACATCAATCACTAACATCAGGAGCTGACACGGTCGAAGCTACATCATGTTGAATCTCTAAACACAGTCCATGCAATGTTAGCATGCTTTTCACTGGAAACTTTTTATTTCAATTCAAATTAAGCAAGATTAAATCCTATTTTCACCTTATTTCATTCGAAAGAATCCCTTGATTTTTGAACATGATATGAACATCTAAAGTGATAAAGTTCAGTATGTTAAATGTGTTCAAGATCAAAGTCAAGTCCAAACTCAAAGTAAGGTTAAAATTCCTTTACCAAAATATTGGAAGCTCAATGACTCGAGTTAATAGTAAGAAGATGAAGTTTACGAACAACCACTCTAGCCACAAAATTCAAGCACTCTACAATTGGTCGGTCGATCATTGTCTACATTCAACAAAAGTGATGGCCATTTTTTTTTAAAATAACTAAAATATTATTCCTATCTTTTACAACAAATCTCACCGTTTGATTAATACCCTTTCTGACCCCACCCCCTCCAAAAAAGTCACATAATAAATTGAAAATTATACTAAAAATAGTATAATTTATATTTTGGACGATTTTTTATAAAATTTGGGAATACTATAATTACATTCTTCACCACTGATATTCACTTAACAATTGTACGTAATCTTTAGCACACTCGTAATCATGGAACAAATTTTAACATTTCATCATAGTGGATCATGATTAGAGTGTGTAACAAAAAGAAAAAAAAGAAAAACTATTATTAGACATATAATTAATGTGACATAATTTTCTGTATCATGAATGTTTGTAGCCTATGAAAGTAATTCAACAATAATGAGCATGAGACATATTCATACCTTTCTAGTTAGGGCATCGGGGTAACTTCAGAGAGAAGAACAACTCTAGCAAAAGATACCATCAATCACTAACATCAGGAGCAAACATGGTCGAAGCTACATCATGTTGAATCTCTAAACACAGTCCATGCAATGTTAGCATGCGGTTTTTCACTGGAAACTTTCTATTTCAGTTCAAATTAAGCAAGATTAAATCCTATTTTCACCTTATTTCATTCGGAACTATCCCTTGATTTTTGAACATGATATGAACATCTAAAGTGATAAAGTTCAATATGTTCAATGTGTTCAAGATCAAAGTCAAGTCCAAACTCAATGTGGTTCAAAATCCTTTACCCAAATATTGTAAGCCCAATGACTCGAGTTAAGAGTAAGAAGATGAAGTTTGCGCTTAATAATTTTATATCAACTAATTAGGCTAAGAAGAATGTCAAGGTTGGAACTTACAAGCCCAAAGTTTTTAATATGTTGCAAGTGCTATAACCAAACGGATTTGGCCATTTTGATGAAGGAAATTTCGGCCCTCATCCAAGTAAGGCCCGTCTTATCTACTAATTTTTAGGAGTTGGAATAATCCCTATCTTTTAAAGATAATATTCCCTGTGGTCCTTATTATAAGGCAGTTTGATTTTATCTTTGGTTTCACTTAGGATGTCTTTTTTATTGAAATAAAAATCTTAAAAATATTTATTAATACTTAGAGATCTTAACAAATATGAAAACATATTTTAAGAGTTTTTTCCAATTAAAAAGATATCAGAATAAAATTGCCTTATGATAAGGACCGGAGGGAGTATAATTTAAATTCATTTCACACTCACAAAAGGGATAAGATTTGATATAATTATACTTTAATAGTATTTTATTTTATTTACAATAAAAAGTCTACTCATTGATGTCTGCTCCACCATTAGATGAATTCTACATCAAGATGGATGGATAAGATTACTTTATAAGAACTATTTATTGAGTTCACTCTTTTCTGTAAAGAGATTGCGTTTATATGCACGAGGAATTCTTTTCAATGAATATCTCTTTGTATTTTGAGTTTAATTTTTATTCATTAATTAGGTTCAATGCGTCTTACCTCTATCGAAATGTCTAGGTTGATTATTTGAATAGTTAATATATGAGTTGATATTAGAGCAAATGCCATCTCTGATAGGAAATTCTTAATGCCCTCTGGGACAACTCATATCTTGACTAAACCTAGATATTTCTATAGACATAAGACATTAAGTTTAATCAAAGAATAAAAAAAAAAACTCAAATTACAAATAGATATTATCTGAAAAGATTTCTCCATGAATGTGAACGCAACCTCTTAATGAAAAAGAGAACTCAATCAATATCTTCTTTATCAAGTAATCTTATCCATCAAATCTTGATGTATTTTTCATCCAAAGATTGAGTAGAAATCAAACAATAAGCTTCTTATTGTAAACAAAATCAAATTCAATTATAAAAATCTTATCCTTCATGAGTGTGAAAAGATTTAAAGAATCTTATCCCTAAAAGAGAGGGATTTCCTCCCTAAAAATTAGGAGATGAAGCTAGCGACCATCCTTGAAATGTTGGTAAAAGTATGCTCCTTCAAATGGACCACACAACACATAATTTTGGGCGTGTAATCTCTAGACTTCATATTCTTCTTAGCCCTACTAGTTGATATAAAGTTATTAAGTGATGTTTTCATATTCTTACTCCTAGTTCGAGTCATTTGGCCTCTAGTGGTGGATAAAAGATCTTGAACCTTGAGTTTGGACTTGACTTTGATCTTGAACATTTTGACCAAATCGAACTTGATCACCTTGGATGTTCACATCGTTCCCCCTTCCTCAAAAAGATCCGTCCTCGAATTTTGATTTTGCAGAACCTCAGCATCTAAAAAATCAAATCGTGCTAAAAACATTAAAGGAGTTGCACTAACGTTATACTCTCTAGGAAGGTTAAGTTGATAACTATTATTGTTCAAACACTTGACATTTAACCTTAGTTGAGAATGGAATCTTTTGAAAATGAACTCAAACCCAATTATCGGGGTCAAATATTACTTATTTGCATCCCTTTTTGCAATCCGCACAACATTCTTATTTTTTTTCAAGATATTCATGTGAACCTTCTCATGAAAAGAGAGCAAAAATTCAGCTTTCTTGGCTCTATCTGCATTAAGAAACTCATAAACAGGCACTAGAGACAAGTCCAATGGGGATAAGAGGTTAAATCCTTAAACTATTTCAAACAAAGAGTGTTAAGCAGTAGAATGCACAATACAATTATATGTAAATCCAGTAATAAAAAAACATGCTTCCCAATTCTTACGTTTCTTTTGGATTAAAGCAAGAAGCAAAGAACCAAGAGTTCGATTAACCATCTCTATCTGGCCGCCCGTTTGAGGATGAGCTATTGTTGGAAAAAAAATCAGTTTTGTAGCTACTTTTTTCTACAAAGTTTCCTAAAGGCAGTTAAAAAAAATCTAATATCTCCATCAAACATAATATGATGCGATCCTGGATGGCCCGTTTAGTGTTATACCTAATTATGATGATCATTACATTGATTGTGATCACATAGGGGGTGTATGATATCATATTGAGGTTGGAATTAAGGATGATAGAAGATTGAAGCCAAAATATGGCTCGCGTCAAGCTAGAATCAACTCGACAACGAAGTCAACAAGATCGTGTCGACATGATGGCCAAGCAAATAAGATAGACGAGAAAGCTGATAAGGTGAGCCTCGACGTTTTTGCCGAGAAGAGGAAATCAACAAAGAAGTCGACAAGGTGCCATGGAGTTCATGGCCGAACAAAGGAAGTTGACGGGAAGGTCGACACTCTCACGTCGAGTGAAATGTCTGTCGACGAACAAGTCGACGAAGGTCGGGCATAATTTTTACTTTTCCTATTTCGATTAGGAAAAGGACTTTTCCATAATTTAACTATTATGGCTGACTCTCCTACACCTCTAGGAGATTCTAGATGGTTTTAAATAATTGTGGCATGTGCATTTATTTATTTAATTATTATTTAAATCTATATTAGGAAACTTAGGTAGACAAATCCGATTTGAACTTGTATTCGGATTTTTTTTTGTCCAAGCCAACCTTGCCTATAAATAGAGGGGGCTGGTCGACCAAAATCATATACTTTTGATGATTATTGATATTTCAATACGAGACGAGAGGAAACTCTTTGTTCTTTTTCTATTCTTTTCGAAGATTAGTGCATTGCACACTTGTTTGTGCTTTGTTGACGCGTGCGCGTGATTTTAAGTGTTCTTCACGTGTGGAGCTTTGTTAGTTTGTTAATTGGAGCCTTTTCGCTAGCCGTTCTCTCCATAAATCGAAGGGAGAATGTTGTTAGAGAGGAACCGATTGGGTTGCTAACCAAAACACGATTCTTCATATTTCGAATCTTCCATTCTTTTTGGTGCAAATTTTTGTGG